TCACTCTCTCTCTGTCCGTCTCTCTAGGGAGCTGTCTATCTCACTCTCTCTCTGGAGAGCTGTCTGTCACTCACTGACTGTCTCACTCTCTCTCTCTCCATCTCACTGTCTCTCTGGAGGGCTGTCTGTCACTCACTGACTGTCTCACTCTCTCTCCCCATCTCGCTGTCTCTCTGTCTCTCTGGAGGGCTGTCTGTCACTCACTGTCTGCTTTGCTCTCTCTCCTTCCTGCTCAGTCAGGTGTGTTGGGATTCCTGCTGTGTGGAATAAGTGTGTGTGTGAACGAGTGGGTGTGTGTGTGTGAGCGAGTGGGTGTGTGTGTGTGAGTGTGTGCATGTGAGCGAGTGGGTGTGTGTGCGAGTGTGCGTGAGTGTGAGTGAGTGTGAGCTGTATTAACCCCTCTCCTGGTCTCTCTCTCAGACCCGGGGGCTGTGGTGGAGGCTCACAGCTCGGTGCCCTACGCTGTCATCGGAGGAATCCTGGCTCTGCTGGTCTTTGCCATCATCTGTGTTCTCATCATCATCATCTGGTGCTCAGTGAGGCAGAAAGGTGAGAGGAGAGGGGAGAGAGAGGAGAGGGGAGAGAGAAGAGGGGAGAGAGAGAGGGAGCAGAGGAGAGGGGAGAGAGAAGAGGGGAGAGAGAGGGGGAGCAGAGGAGAGGGGAGAGGGAGGAGAGAGAGGGGAGAGAGAGAAGAGAGGGGAGAGAGAGAGGGGAGAGGAGAGGGCGCAGAGGAGAGGGGAGAAAGAGAAGAGAGAGGAGAGGGAGGAGAGAGAGAAGAGAGAGGAGAGGGAGGAGAGAGAGAGAGGCAACATTGATTGTACTCGTCGGTCATGCCAATAAAGCATCTTGAATTGAATTGAAATTGAGAGGAGAGAGGAGGAGTGAGGGAAGAGAGGAGGAGAAAGGGGAGAGGGAGTGAGGGGAGAGAGAGGAGGAGAGAGGGAGAGAAAGGAGTGAGGAGAGAGGGAGTGATAGAAGAGAGCGGCAGAGAGAGGGAGGGAAAGGAGAAAGAGAGGAGGAGAAAGAGGACAGGAGAGAGGGAGAGGGATGGGGAGGGAGAAAAAGGGGGAGGGGGAGGTGAAGAGGGGAAGGGAGAGACAGGAAGAGCCTTGGACGGACGGCCAGTGTCCAGACCTGGAGCTCAGGGTCACCGCCTGGCTGGGGCTGTTTCAGGGTCATTTATACACGCGTGTGCGTGCGTGCGTGCGTGCGTGTGTCCGCGCTGACGCCTGTCTCCTCCACCCCTGGGCAGGATCCTACCTGACCCACGAGGCCAGCGGGCTGGACGAGCACGGCGAGGTGCAGGAGGCCTTCCTGAACGGGGGCGAGGGGCGGGAGTGCGGGAAGAAGGAATACCTGCTGTAGCGCCCCACCGTCACATCCCCCCTCCCCCCTCAGCACGAACACACTGCGCCCCCTGGTGACAGCCTCCGGAACTGCAACGGTGGACCGACACCGCCAAACACACCGGCACCGAGCCACCACACTGATGTCATGGAGAGAGAGGGAGAGGAGGAGGGATGAGTCAATACACTGTACACTGCACTGACCCTCAGAGAGAGAGATCACAGTCCTTCATC